CGATTGAAGATACTTCAATGTATTACACTTAATATGGTTACACCTGATGTAACCTGCTCTTACGAGTGTTTCTAGGTATGTTTGGTCATTTATGTCCCTCACAGACTAAATCTTACTATTACGGGTCATCTTTAGCTCTTACAAACCTTAAACGAGTTAAATCTGACCATCCAAAGTGAGTAGTATCGATACTCTACTTGTAGTATTGATACCTTAGGGTCAAGTATTGATACCCTACGAGTATCGATACCAAAAATGCATTCTGTTACGAAAATAGGGCCTCAGTATCGATATTGTCACCCTGTGTATCGATATTGCAGGGGTAGTATTGATAGTCCCCTTCGTAGTATCTATACTCCAGCCGAAAATCCCTAATTTTTACCCCAATTTATCTAATATCGATACTATTCATCCCAGTATCAATACTTAAACCCTAAAATTGTTATTTTAAGCTCAAAAATCACTCAAAAATCACCCCAAATGACTTAGTTTGGTTTCTAAACTTATTTTGAAACTATAGTAAGATGTTTAGGGTCTTAAGGTATCATAAAACGTATTTTAACACCTAAAACATGATTTGATTAAGAAATTAAATATAAACCCTAAAATACTCAAATCACCACATCTTAGTAAATACTTGAAATTTATGAAAGCTTAAAACTCCAAAGGATTAAATACACTACATTGATACTAGGATCCCGAAATTGAGCTCCTTGCTTGGCCACACTCTCTTTCTTAAAGACTTTGATGGTTTTCCACCCTTTTCTCAAGCCAAGCTTGAAAGAAAAGATTTTCTTAACATGAAATGGAAATGACGAAGGTTAAGAACAAATTTTGTAAGCTTAAGGAATGATAGAAGAAATACAAACACTTACCTTGAGCTATAATCTTGTTATGAAGGAGGAATATGGAGGAAGAGAAGAGAAATGAAGAATAAAAGATGAGAATTGGGAACCCACGTCCAAAATATTCTTAAAAGCCAAAAATATCATCTTCTTTCTTTTAATGGTATAATTACACTTTTAGTCCTCAGTATTTTATCTCATATTTAAAAATCCCTTTTTTATGATTAATTGGGCCCAAAATCAACCCAATTAAACCCAACAACATAAATCATAAAATCCACGAGGTCCACTTACCACCCGAAACTATTAGCCCAAAATTTGGGGTGTTACAAAAAGCTTAATTATCCCATTTTTAAAAAGATGAGAGCTTTATCTTCTTTCATCTTCTTCTCTTCATTTCATTCATTCTCATTTTATTCTCCTATTTTCCCTCCAAGTACCATAGCTAAAGAAAAGTGAGGGTTTATCAGCCAAGTCTTGGAGGAGAGTGATAGCTAGCTAAATGAGCTTCATTTTAGGATTTTCTTAGCAAGGTTATTAGCTTGAGTTGTTTGTGAAGTATCGTCGTTGCAGGACTTCCAACATCTCTCTCATAGTATTGTACAATAGTTTTAGTGGGCATATGTATTCATAGAACTTTACTCTTGTATTTGATTTATCAAACTTTGAGTTGTATTATTTGTTTTAAACTATGTGTCACGGAGCTTCAGTCTATAAAAGTGTTTTATAATTGTCATGTATGTATATCTTGGTACCACTCAGTATGTTTTGAAATAAAATAAACAGATCTTTTTAAATCATGGGTTACCTCGACAATCCAATATAACACTTTAGGCCCAATAAAATTTAGGGTATTATAGGTCAAGCAACATGAATATCCAACTATGGCCATCAATCATCATACATGGTTGCATCATATTCAAGCGCCCATAGGCCCTACATAATCAATCATTTTCTTACAAAGGTCAAACAAGATAGCACAACTACGTAAGTATTATTTTCAAATAGTAAAGTGAGAACATATCCTATCTCATGATTATGTCCCTCATTTTCTCGTCTAGAATATTATGCAATGCACGATTCAAGTGACATTAGTGATAAAGGAATTGTTATTATTCTTTGAGGTCTTGAGTTCGAGCATCAGGAATGATAGAAGTGTGAGGGTTCAATATCAAATGCTTGAGAGTTATCTTTGAACAGATATTATCTTGTACTTACCCTAAATTAACAAAAAAAATATGCAATAATAATTTAATCTTTTAATAATTTATAGCGTTTAAGGCATTAAATCTTATCAATAACTACATGGTACATTATTGACGTAATACATTGTTCAGCTTAAGATTATTTAATCATTAATGAATTACTACTCACATTTTATTTTATTTTTTGATAATTTAGTTGTAGGATTGAGAGGTGGCTTACGCATCATCCCTTGACTAACCATATCAAAATTAAGAATGAAATTTCTTAAAGTATTAAAATGTGAAAAGTAGATAGTTTTGAGAACTAAATAAACATTTAATCCATAATATTCATAAATAAGTATTTTTAGGAAAATGCTTTGATTTTGAAGATTAAGACATCGGTCATACGATTTGTCCTTGTAACGAAATAATAGACGAGTAGATTAAACATAAGTAGAATATGCAACAAACATTTGTTGAGATCATTGTCTCTCTAATATTCCTCACGTTCTCTCGTCAACTTCGTTCCAACTTGGTGGATTTATTCTTCATGTTTCTTACTAAATTTATCTTAAGTAACATACAAATTGTTTCAAATTGTTTCAAATTGGTAACATGTTTAATAGTTTGGAATAATTATAATATATTATTAAATATTTTTTAACTTGTTAACAACACGAACATACTCTACTTCGAATCTAAAATATTTAGAGAGAATAATGTTCTCATTTAAGACCGATTAAGAATCATTCATATGAGCCACTTAACAGTTTATTCATCTGAGTAGTTTAAATATCAAGTTTTGCGCCTCCAGAAAAGAACCCAATTTCTTTATCCTTATCTCGGGCAAGAATCAAAGGATACCTTCATTTTCTTCTCAAGTATTTTTAACAAGCTTGTCTTCCCTAGATTTCTGTTTTGATTGCTATTTATATATCTGTTTTTTCGATTCATTTCTTCTCTCCCTCCTTTTTCTTTTCTTGGTTATTAAAAAGATCGTTTGTCGATGCCATAAATCAAGGAACTTCCATCAATTCATTTGGCGATTCGTGTTTTTAGTTTTCCAAACACACACGTTTGGGAATTTGGGGTTTCTATTATTTTGCCAAATTTCAATGAAGGAAAGATTTAGTGAAGAGAAATTGAACTTTCTTTTCATCAAAAACTATTTATTTTGTTCCAGGAAAATGAAATATTGCATTTAAATAAATAAAAGAAAAAAGAAAAAGAACCAATGTTGGGCAGCTTCATTAACAGAGTGCTTGTGTAAGTAATTTACTACGCATTTTCGTATTTGTTGTTTTGCATTAATATTCTTCGGTTGTTAAATTACAACGAGTAATTTGAATTTTCTGGAATTTGTTAGTATCTGTTCTGTCTTCCCATGATTTTGTGTTTGCAGTTTGCTCCTTGGATATGCGTATCCTGCATTTGAGTGCTTTAAAACTGTGGAGAAGAACAAAGTTGGGATCGAAGAACTCAGATTTTGGTGTCAATATTGGTATTAATCTCTTATTTATTTATTTATTGGCTTCTACTAATTTGTCCATTTAATCGATCGGTTATATATTGTCGTAGGGTTATTATTCTCCTCCCCATTTAATCTCCTGAAGTTATTATGATTGTTCCCTCTTTTAATTGAGATTTTTTACGTAAAACCAAACCGTCAAAAAATCGTTCTAATACTACTTGTTGCGAGATTATTATATTTTTCCAAAAAGACATGTATCATAGAATGAATAATACCACAACTTAAAAGTTTTAACATTTTTGTCCTTTCTAACGTAGGGTTAATGTTTTCTACTTCTTTAAAACGTGACATTACATTTCATTAACCAGTAATCGATTAATTTAGCCGATTATTGTGGATTGTGCATCATTTGTTTGGCTTATAATGTTAAATGTAAAAGTTATGCATGCAATGTATTTTCACAGGATCCTTATGGCGTCTCTGATACTATTCGAACGGAGTGGGGAAGTATTTATCTCATGGTATGGTCACACCTCTTAGCTTTCATATAGTTTAACTTTATCATTATCCACCTTTGAATTGATTCAATCGAATTCAGCAAAACTAAAAGCAACCAAAATTTGAATCTCAAACCTGAATTACATCCACTCCAAAAGACTCGAAATTGACACAAAACAACTATGATGCGAATTCGATTCAAGTTGGCTCGACCTAAAACCGATCCACCTAATTGCCAAATATAATCTAATTGTTTATGATGCTAACATTGGATTTTGAGCTATCCTTGAAGGTTTCCAATGTATGGCGAGATGAAGGTTGCAATGTTAGTCTACCTATGGTATCCTAAGACAAAGGTGGAAGTACTGCAATAAAATTTAGCTTTTTTTCACCCCCTGCAAATATTGAACTCAATTGACAATACCAAAGTTCTAAAATTTGATGATTTAGGGTACCGGTTATGTATATGATACCTTGCTTCGACCTTTCATGGCAAGACACGAAACAGAAGTGGATAGAAAGATACAAGAGATCAAAGCTAGAATATGGGACTTCATTTGGAAATACTGCCAACATTTTGCAGATATGGGGCAGGGAAAATTCTTTGAAATGCTTCAGTACATGGCAACCCAATCATTAAAGTTTAAACAAGCCAATCAGGTAAATTCTTCTAAAAAATGTATTTGTTGTTTCATTTTCATCGACATAAATTGAAAATTTCAGAAAAGCCAAACCCCTTTTTTGCAGAAACCTGATGAGCAAGTTTCACCATCCACACCAAATGGTTACCGTGGTCAATCTGGTTCAAGCAATGATTCTCCTCGTAGAAGAACTCGTCCGGTTCAAACCTGATTGACGGTCAATCTGGTTCCACACAATTAACAATTTATAATAAACAAACAAAATTTGTACAAAAAGAAAAGAAACCCAGAATCATTTGTTGAAAACCCAGGCTGAAAATCAATTCAGTCGTTTTTTTTTATTTGTAATATAAATTACTTATATATATATATATATATATTTGTTTTCGTACAGTTTATACACTTGATTGAATATTCTATCCCTTGTTCCTGTGTAAACGCAACCTTTATCTGTTGAAGATGATTCCTATGGATCCGAAGATCCGATTCATGAGTCGGATCAGAACGGGTAAGAGATCGAGGTTGAAGAACCCAAGACAGGAAGAGATGGGATTGTGAGATGAGAACTGGGGCCAAAGCCGACGTAAAAAGTGAGGGCCGGATGCGTCAGGGGAGGCTGACATGGGCTGAAGATAAGCCCAAGCTGCCTGTTTTACTAAACGGTTGCGGATTGAGATTTCGTACCCGGAATTGGTGGCGGATCCTGCGGCGGTGGGGGAGTTGATAGTCACGGTGGAGGAAGGGAGGATGTCTTTGAGTGAAGTGTATGAAGCAAAGGAGGCTTTAAGGGAGATAAGCTCGAGGTCAAGAGGAGATGGGGCGGCGTCCCCTTTTGGGAGGCTGGTGGCGGATTGGAGAAGTGTCGGAGTCACTAGAGTTAGCCTGGCAGGGATATGGACGGGGGTTGAGATGGGGTTGCGTCGGCGGAGAGTTGATGGCGGCGACTGCCCTAAGCCGTCGTCCATTATCGAAAATTATGTCCTCTTTCCCCCGAAAAAAAAAACTCTTTTTCAATCTCATCAATCATGTCATGTGGTGTATTTTATTCATGTGCATATTTGACTTGTTTTGGGTTTCCCTTTCTTTTTCCTATTTTTTGCTTCATTTGTTTATTTATTTTTTATTGCTGAATTTGTAATTTTTATTATCTATATTTAATATTCTTAATTAATTTTTAATAATATTATTTTCCACATTTAAACCTACTTTTGCTATAGTACACTCAGCCCTTGTTTATTAGTAGCTTCATATATTACATTGTAATTTCTTAGAAAGGAGTTGGAGAATTTTATTTATAATAAGTATTAAACTCATAATTTAGGAAAAAGAGACTATAAACTAAGATTTTTAACCATCTGTTTTAAAGATTGTTGACTATACTTTTTTACATAAACTATAATATTTTTAGGATATTTTTAATATATAGGCATTCTTTTAATACTAGTAATAAGGATGATTACATGATAAATTTATAAAATTATAAGAGTAAAAATATATTATCAATCGAAATTCTCATAGAAACAATTATTTGTACCTGCTCCTTTCAATTCATCCCGATAATATTAATAATATTTTCTTTCGTTATTTTAGTAATATTAAAATCTTTTGTTTGTTTTTTCCGCTTGTTATTTACTTGACAAATACTCCTAACAATTTGGAAGCAGCTTATCGTTTACATGAACGGTAAAATGTCAACCACATTAGGCTTCATTTGGTAATATTTTCTAAAGCATTTTTAGTTTAAAAAATCATTTTGATCATAAAATCAAAGTTAAATGATAAAAATTAAAGAAATATGTGATAAAAGCGGTAGTTTCAAATCAATAGTAAAAATTAGAATTTCTAATTTTTTTTATTTTTAATTTTAGTTTGGAAGCAAATTATAATTTTACTATTATTAATGTATTGGCTCTACTCAAATTAATATTCACACTTTATTTTAATAATTTAATACTAACATTCTTAAATAATAATTTATTTTAATTAGTTAAAAGTAAATAATATTCATGATTTATATATTAAAAATATTAATCGTGAATTATTATAATATATAGTTTATTATAGTTTAAATTGATATATTTTATATACCACAACATTAAGGGTCAATTTGGTATAACTTTAGAAGAGTGACTTTCAAAAGTACTATAGAAACATATTTTTAAAAGTGTTATACAAAAGTACAGTTTAAAATTAACTGTTTGAGATTATTGTTAAAAGTAAGTTTGAAAAGATAAAATGTGCATTATAGACATTATGTTGTAAATTAAAAATATAATATTTAAATTATATTTACAAATATATATGAATCATATCAATTTAAACTATAATTAATTTAAAAAAATTATTATTATATATAAATTATATTAATTTAAACTATAATAAAAATATAAAAATACAAATAAAATATATAATTATAATAAGGCTTAAGGGTCTCCTTTGCCCCTATAATAGACCCAATTTATCATTTTCGCCTCCTATCGTATTTTCGCATTAATTTAACCCTCAAAGTTGTTTAATTGCATCATTCTATACTTTTCCCTAATTTAAAACCCTAAATTATAAATCATAAATTAATGTTTATGGCTTAAGGTTTTTAGAGGTAATTGGGTTATGGTTTAGGATTTTAAGTTAGAGGTAGGGTATAGAATGGTGCAATTGAGCAATTTCGAGAGCTAAATTGATGTAAAAATACGATATGGGCGAAAGTGATAAATTGATTCTAATACAGAGGCAAAAGCTACCCTTTTGCCTAATAATAAAATATATTTTATATAACTCAATATTAAAATTTTAATATATATAAATCATAATTTTTATTTTTAAACAATTAAATTAAATTATTAAAGGTAATAAATTATTTTTTAAGAATGTTAGTATTAAATTATTAAAATAAAATATAATTACACAATTGAGTGGAGTTAATGCATTAGTAAGGGGTAAAACTATAATTTAGGTCGGAACGTAAAGTTAAAAATGAAAAAGTTAAAAATCCTAAATTTTGCAGTTTATTGAAAACAATCGTTTCTAAGTTAATTTTTTTTTCATTTTTTTACCCTTTTGACATTGATTTTACGATCAAAACAGACTTTTTAACTAAAAGTGTTTTTAAAAACATTACTAAACATACCTTATATAAATATAATTTAAATATTATATTTTTAATTTACACCGTAATATTTATAATTGGTATTTTATCTTTTTTAAACATAATTTTTAACTATAATTTCAAATAATTAAATTTTAAACTATACTTTTAAAAAAATTAAAAGTTTTTTTACTGCACTTCTATAAGTTATTTTTCAAAAAATAATACTAAACTGACACTTACAAAAGGTCAAAAACACTTTTACCTGACACTTGGTATAAAATACAATTATTTCTCTATAATTTAGAAAACACTCATTTATCCCTTTAGGTTTATTTACACAAATTTATCATTAATCAATTACTTATTATTTTATTTACTTTTATGATTTTAAATTATTATTATTATTATTATTCGATTTGTTATATTATTTTAGAATTTAAACCTTTTATATTATTTATTATTTTAAAATTTATTTTTTATATATTTTTTTGAAACTAGATCTCTTTATTATTTTGTTTGGATAGATAAAATGTTTAATTTTTTTAAATAAATACAGTGAATAATACTTATTTATCTTTTTTATTAATATATTTTACAAATATTAAATATTCATAGTTAATTTTAATTCAATTTTACATATTAACTTTGAGATAAAATTATTCTCTTTTACCTCTAATTTCTTTGCTTTTTTTATATGTTTTAATCAATTTCGTTTATGTCCAACTAATGTAATCATAAACGGTTCAATTGTTAATTTGAGTGTTAAGTGAAAGATAACATCTATAATAGTGGTCAGTATAGGAGTTCATTATGAACTCTTATGCATGTACTGCTAAACAAATGAGAGATTAAAATATAATGATTATTGAGAATAAAATAATCATTATTTTTATTTAAATTTTTATTTATTTTTTTATTAAGCTAAGATAATTACAAAGTAATATTTGTTCTAAATATGCTCAATAATTTTATCAATGAACACTCAATCATCCTACTGCAGTTGTTGTTGCTCGAATCCATTACCTCAAAAAATAACGATTCTTTTAACCACAAAAATAAGTTGATTGGTGCCTCTATTCATTTTTTTAATATCGGAAAAAGTATAAGAAAGAAGTAGTTTTAAAATATATTTTTGTAAATTTTTAACAATTTAAAATAATAAAATATAGAAACCAAAATATGACGGTTAAAATCAAATTAGGGGAACCACGTAGAAAGAGATGAAGTGGACCCCACCACCTATTTCTAAAATTCGAAGACATCTCATAATGATTTGTTCAAACAAATTAAATAAAATAAAAATTGATAAAAGAGAATCGTTATAGCCACTCGTTCCTACTATAAAGCATCAACTTTTTTATTTCTTTGAAAATTTAAGTTTTGTAATTGGTCAAATTCGAGTGGCCTCGAGGCTTTTTTATGTTTCATTTCTTTGTTTAATTTTTGAGAGATTGACTACTCAGCTCAGTTAGTAGAGCACAAGGTTCTTAATCTTGAAGTCATGGGATCGAGTCCCACGGAGGGCATTTCATAATTCGGAGGTCTTCTACGGAAGTTACTCTCAACCTGGTGTTGAGGGTAGCTTACTATCTTATCTCCCCCTTACCCTATTATATATGGGAACAAAGGACAGCCATTTTTTTTTCTTTGTTTTATTTTCTTGACGTGTGTCTGTTTTTTTAAACGTACGTCGTGTCTCTTTCAACTTTTCGAAAGCATATAACCTCATTTTTCTTTGAAGTTTTGCTGCAAACCACGTCCACAATCATTTTGGTTTCGACATTGATTTTATTGGATTAATGTTATTTCTCCTATCAAGTACGTTGTTGATTTCTGATTTAATGTTATTTGAGGATATTAAACATTTGTAAAACAATTAATTGAGTGCATATAGCACTGGGGATGCATCGAAAAGAGTAAGTGGGAACAATTATGTTAAAACCAAACCATAAATATGAAAAATTATTCAGAATATAATCTTGTGTTATGCACTTAATTGCTCAATGATATAAATTGGAAACACTAGAACTGGATGTTCATTGAATAACAACAGAATTACAACGATGGAGAAGAAAAGATAAGAAATAGAAAAGAAGACTAGAAGAGAGAATTAGAGAAGAAAGAGGTTAACAGATCGTAACAATATTTCATGCCTTTTGCTTCTATCTTCTATTGCATATATATAACCAACTGTAGTAACCAACTAAAACAAATCGATAAAGCCTTGGAATGCTTTCTCTTACACGTACTCTCCCCCACCACTTGTGTTGAACTGGCCATATTTGACGTGTGTTGCGTTGGCATAAATTATATTTGGGTCATAACAATGCACTCTCTCGGAGAGGAACCTTGTCCTCAAGGTTCAAACGATATGTTGAGCTTGGATTTTCCTTTCCAACAAAGGTAGTAGAGTAGCTTGTTATTGATGAATGTGTTAATGTGGCTTCAATTTTTTTACTCCTCCATGTTAGCCATAGAACCCTCCAAGCAACTACACGATTCTGTTTTAGGAAATCATTGAAATCAAGCTTTGCCTGCATTCAACATCTTTTTTTTTGGCAAATCTTCAACATCTTCTTGGCGCATATTTGTGCCTTCTCAACAAATGAGAGAACGCCTCCCATCCTCAATATATGTCTAATCATTCGTTCTGAATGGAAAATTTCAAGGTCTTCCAAGCATTCTCCACATCCTACAAGCTTGATTGGCTTCCCAAACACCCCTTTATCACTCAAAGCTACAACACCTACAGAATCTCTATCTAGCTTTGTTATAATGGCACCAAGAATCCATATTTTAACATTGAATGTTATAACCAAAGCAACAACTTCTTGGCCACTAATTGCGTTCAAAATCAACAAAATGTATGTGGAATTCAATATTTTTCTTCTTGCAA